GCCATGCAAAATTCCCAATAAAACCTATGCCAAAATGAGTTATTTTGGAAATGAGTATTTAATTCTTGGAAATTTGTCATAATTAATTTTGTTATCTTTAGTGGAACAACAGTGCTGTGTGAAAAATTGGGGTACTCACCATAAAACAGGTTAAGCTATTGTTTCTTTTTCTCTAAAAGATGTGTTAGTTTTGTGTTCCCACCCCTAAAAAAAGTCGTTCCAAAGAACATCTTACTGCTAAATATGAATTTAGCACCAGGCTTTGTTCTTGTTTAACGAGTTTTAATAAAAAAAAGTATAGAAACATTAAGTTCGGCCGGGTCGAACTTTTAATACCCTCCAGCATTGGATAAAGAAAACATTTTTATATAAAAGTATCAGAATTCAAATGTGTTTCACTTTAAACTACAAATACCAGTAAGACCGTTTGGATAATGTTTTTAAACTTTTCAAAAAAAAAAAAAAAAAACAAAGTGGGTGAGCCCCTTGCATAAGGCCATAGCAAAACGAAAACCTCTTTGGATAATTTTATACTTTAAGGATTGTCATCAAACAATTTCGGGGCTGAATGTGACTAGGAATATCAAAATACCTAATATCGGTGAGTATCACTATATGTGCGCTATAATAGAAGGTGGACCTAAATATTCAATGTACTGCCACGCGACTTATAACACATTATTACCTTCAAATACCAATTTTTAGACAAATTCGTGTAAAAATGTGGCAAAAAGTCATCAAAATACCGAATATAGAGAGGTACTGTTATAATGGGGGCTATACCAAAACGTGGACCTATACATACGATTTTTGGGCACCGAAAGTAGAACCCAATATGACCTACAAATAACAATTTTAAGACAAATCCGTGAAAAAAAATTGGCAAAAAGTCAACAAAATTCCGAATATCGGGAGGTACCGTTGTAAGGGTTATATACCAAAACGTGGACGTATTGATACAATGTTTCACTGCCGGAACGGGAACCAATTATGACCTACAAATAAGAAGTTTTAGTCAAATCGGTGAAAAAATTCATCAAAATACCGAATACCGTTATATGGGGGATATACCAAAACGTGGACTCATATATATTATGTTCCGCCAACCTATAATGACCTATAATACCAAGTTTTGGACAAATCCGTGCAAAAATGTGACAAAAACATTGAATATCGGGAGGTACTGAAAACGGTGAATATTTATTATTTATGTGAAATTCATGTAGTTACGCCGAAGGAAGCGATTTTTGTTTTGAAAATTGTTATTCAATAAGTATTTATGGCTTTTATCAAATATATTTTTGAAACGTTAAATTTGTCTCTTTGTCACATTAATTTGCTATTTATTTACCAACTACTAGCCCGTGTGAACCTCATTAACAGCCTGTGTGAACCCGACACAAATATATTTTTGTAAACGCCAAACTTGTCACTTTCTTTCATTTGCTATTTATTTTCTCTTCACTAGCCCGTGTGAACCCACTATGTTACACAGTTATAAAAGTCAACTATTGCTACAATGCTATGTGTAAATCATGGAAGAAGCATAAGGACAATGACTGTCAAACCAATATTGAATTTGAAAATTTCGAAATATTGTTCAAATTCGTTAGAATCGTTGAAAAATGCATATCATAACAATCTCTGATTGACGTCGTATAAGAAAACATAAAAAAATCTTTTATTTTTTAGAAAAAAAAAAAAACATTTTTTTTGGCTTTATCACATTAATTTGATATTTATTTGCCAACCACTAGCCCGTGTGAACCCCATGAATAGACCGTGTGAACCCAAAACAAAATATTTTTGTGAATGGCAAATTTGTCTCTTTCTTACTTTCATTTCCTTTGTATGTATTTTCTCTTCTCTAGCTCGTGTGAACCCACTTTGTTACACAGTTATAAATGTCGTTATGGAGTACTTCTGAACTTAAACTATATGCAAACTTCTTTGGACTTTTTAATAGGCACTGAACTGAATTAGAATATTTATCTAAGCTATTGTTATCTTTTGCAAATATTTTAGTTAATTCTCAAAAAATTAAAACATTGTTTTCTTCTGGGGACTGTTCGTTGGAATGTTGTCATTTGAAATTTATATTTTACAGATAAGAGTGACAGAATAATAATGACACCATCGCCAATAATAGCATTCATGCTTGGTTACTAGACGTGAATAATATGTTTCAATTTTAAGTTAATATTAAAAAAAAAAATAATAATTTTTTTAATAACAAAGGCACGTCTAGAGTGGCCATAAAACGAAAATACAGAGAATTTTTTTAGATGAAACCAAATCAAAGTAAAGTCCAGCATTGTTACCAGGACGTCTGGATGACAAGAGGCGGTGGTGACAGAGACAATTGATTCATGTATTGATGATAAATTGAAAGTAAATCAAAACTAGCAACACCATTTAATAAAAAATAAATGGAAATGAACACACACAAACAATAAAATATGAAAATAATGGCCAACAAATGCGAAAGAATAAAATTGTAGCTGTTGTTGTGGTTATTGTTGTTTGTTATTCATCAATTGCAGAAACAAAAAAAAAACGAAAAGGTACAGAGAAATACAACACAATTTGCCGACAATCCTAACAATTGACTACCAATCAAGACAATCAATTTCAAATTAAATCAACAACAACAAAAATAACACAAATGTGGACATTGGCACTCTCTCGTTGCTGACGCGCCATTTCCAATATATACAGGGTGAGATGAAAAAAAAACGGCAACCAACTTCAGACTGCTGTCATTTCTAAGCCACTCGTCTGACAGCTGTTGAAATTTGTCCAGTGACAGATCAATATATTTTTTGAGAATTTTCCAGAAAATAAAACTTATTCGTGATGGAATTCAAGCGTGATAGCCTGATTTCTTTATATTTGGCTGGAAAACCACAAGCGGCTATCGTTAGAGCACTCCAGCGTTTAAATTGGAATAAATCTCTTGTGTCTCGTACCATGGCTCGTTGCCGTGATACCTGTAGCGTAGCCCGACGTCAAGGAAGTGGACGGAAGAAAACAGCACATCAGCAGAAATGGTTTGAAAAGTAAAGAAGCGACTTTTGGCTCGTGGGCTGAACATATCACAATATACCATTCGGAAAATATTGAAAAATGAGCTCGGGGTAAAGCCATTGAAATTCCAAATAGTGCAAGAACTTACACCGCATCAGAAAAAATAGCAGAAATGCTTCGAAAAGTAAAGAAGCGACTTGATCGAAACCCGCGTCGCTGTGGCCGAAAAATGGCTCGTGAGCTGAACATATCGCAATATACCATTCGGAAAATATTAAAAAATGAGCTCGGGGTAAAGCAATTGAAATTCCAAATAATGCAAGAACTTACACCGCAACAGAAAGAAAATAAACTTCGCTTGGCCGAAAGTGGTTAACTGCCGAATTTGGTTTTCTCCGATGAGTGCAAAACTTACACCGCTTCGTTCGCTTAGCCGAAAATGGTGAACTGCCGAATTTGGTTTTCTCTGCTCCGATGAGAAAACATTCGTTGTCCCGCAGTTTGTAAACAAACAAAAATGATCGTGTTTACTTGCCAAAGAGGTCAGGTGGAAATGTGCACCTTCGGTTGGCCACCAGAACTCAAGCGCCGGCCATGATGATGGTGTCGAATGCCATAACAGCCGATGGTCGCTATCCGCTCGTATTAATCGACCGTGGTATCAGAATAAATGCCGAATGGTATCGCGAAAATATTCTGGAGGGTGTATTAAAGCCTTGGGCAGGCAAACATTTTGGCCAAAGACCTTCGGCAATCCAACAGGACTCAGCAGCACCACCCAAGAATGGTTACAAAATGAGGTTCCTCCGGATACCAATTCTCCTCCGGATACCAACCCGTTGAACTACTGTGTCTGGAGTATTTTGAAAAGCAAGGTTGCCACTAGAAAATACCAAAGTGTCGATCAACTCAGGCAAGCGCTTCGCCGGGAATGGGCCAAAATACCGCAGAACAATATTCGGGCAGCGGATGCCAATCCGGAGTCTCTGGAGTATTTTGGAAAGCAAGGTTGGCCCTAAAGAAATACCAAAGTGTCGATTACCTCAAGCAAGCGCTTCGCCGGGAATGGGCCAAAATACCGAAGAGCAACATTCGGGCGGCGTGTGACGGTTTCATTGGCCGTTTAAAAACCATAATTCGTGCCAAAGTTGACCAGTCTAAACTTATTCTAAAATTTGATGCTATTTCCGATCTTTTTTGCTTTCATTCAAGATTTAAAAAAAATGTAGAAATTATGGCTTTGGACTTTGTTGCAGTTTTTTGCTATCTCACCCTGTACACACACACACACACCGAACTCCCGCCCTACCTTTTTCTCCTTTGGTGTACGTTCGTGTTTGCATGTCACTTCATATCATAACTAAATCGAAAGACCAAAGTCGCAAATTATCAATGACAGGGGCGGTTTTTTTGTTTTGCCTTAACGACATCAAACGCCAAGTCAAAATTTCAGGAAAATATTTTTTTCAACAAATTCTTGCGATACTATTCTAAGAATTTGGAGATTTCTAGATAGCCATCCAAAGTTAAGGGGATAGGATGACTGATAATTGATTAATGGGAAATAAATTCCTGTTTGCGTCGTTCCGAAATCGAATGGCCGGCCAATTCCTTAATTGACACATTTGAAGAGATTCAAATTTTCGGGGTAAATTTTGTGCGGTTTTTGTGTGGAATGGAATTTGACAACAAATCAAGTTGTTGTCTGCGTCGCGGAGCTACGCAGTTTGTGGGAATTTAAATATCGCATCATTTTTAACCAATCACCAATAGCCACAGACGGAGAATTTCATTTTAACTGAATTGTTGATAACTTCCAATCAAATTTAATTGGCCACAATTTTTGTTTGTTTTTGTTTTTTAAGGGAATTCTATTTTTAACAGCATTAAATAAGTTTTCAATTCTTCATAGAACACTTCTGTTGTTGTTTTTTTTTTTTCATTTTTTTTTGATGGGAAATCCTTCCTCCTACCTTCTTTCTTCGTCTTCTTCTTATCACCAACAATTGTATTTATGACGAAATATTTATATTCTTTTTATTTTAAAAAAGGGGGGCGTTGGGCGTTGGTTGTATCGCGTGTTATGTGTCTGTGGGTATTTTGGCGGAAACTAAAAACAAAAATTACACGCGTTACTCGTTAACTCGTTCGATCGAAATTAAAATTAGAACTAAATTAGATTAACTGAGAGTATGACAGAGCACCAACGGATGCCAGTACCTCTGAACTGCTAGAGCTAAAAATGAATGATCGATAGCCAATAGCCAAGCAGCCAGCCAGCTAGCCAGCCACAGCGTCTGCATTAGATCTCAGTGATATTAGTCAGTACGTTGTCGCTGTCGTGATTACGCTGTGGTTCGTTCGTTTGGTTTGCCGGCTGAATAGTGATAATGAGAGAGCTAAACGAAAACACACACACACACACACACACATATCAACATTGGTAGTATTTGTAAACTAAATATTAGCAAGAACAAGTAGCAGTATGTGCAGCAAAAGTTGTAGAATAATAAATCTTAGAAATAGGGTACGTATTTTTCAAGTGATATGAATTAATAGATTAGACTGGGAAGTCTGGTAAGTAAAGGTGTTCTAATAAAGGAATGTGTTTTGGCATTGGGTTGAAGCTCAACGTGAAAGGTAGATTCCTCTGAGCAAAGAGAAATGTGATTTCGTGGCGCCCAACGTGGGTCACAATTGAAAAGATAAAAGACAAACAAAAAAAAAAAAAACAGTTAAGTTAGGCCGGTCCGAACATTTAAAACCCTCCATCATTTGGAGAGAACTTGAAAAATTTCAAAGAAAATTCCGAAAACCACCACTTAAATGAAAACCGTTAAATGGGGGCTATACGAAGACGTCGACCAGCACAGACAATTTTCTGTCTTAGGCTGTAGTATCCATTACGAACTTCAAATACGAAATTTGAAATAATTCGGGTGAATAATGTCGCCAAAATCATCAAAATACTGAATATCGGGAGGTACCGTCCTATGGGGGCTATAGGACGACGTTGGCCTGCATACGAAATATTTTGCCATAGGTTGTGGTACCCATTAAGATCTTCCAGTGAATCCAGTGAATAATAAAGCTAAAATCATCAAAATACCGAATATCGGGAGGTGCCGTTATATGGGGGCTATACGAAGACGTGGACTTGCACAAACAATTTTTTGCCATAGGCTGCAGTATTCATTACGAACTTCCAATACCAAATTTGAAGTAATTCCGGTAAATAATGTCGGTAAAATCATGAAAAATACCAAAAATAGGGGGTACCTTTATGTGGGCACTATACGAAGACGTGGACCTACACAGACAATTTTCTATCACAGGCTCTATTACCCATTGTGAACTTCAAATACCAAATTTGAAACAGTTCCAGTGAATAATGTCGCTAAAAACATCAAAATACCGAATATTGGGTTGTAGCATTATATGTGGGCCATACGAAGATGTGGACCTGCACAGACAATTTTCTGTCTAAGGCTGTGGTACCCATTACGAACTTCAAACACCAAATTTGAAGTAATTCCGGTAAATAATGTCGCTAAAATCATTAAAATACCAAAAATAGGGGGTACCTTTATGTGGGCACTATACGAAGACGTGAACCTGCACAGACAATTTTCTGTCTAAGGCTGTGATACCCATTACGAACTTCAAACACCAAATTTGAAGTAATTCCAGTAAGTAATGTCGCTAAAATCATTAAAATATCGAATATCGGGAGGTACTGTCATATGGGGGCTATACGAAGGCGTCGACCTGCACAGACAATTTTCTGTCTTAGGCTGTAGTATTCATTACGAACTTCAAATATCAAATTTGAAACAATTCTGGTAAGTAATGTCGCTAAAATCATTCAAATATCGAATACCGGGAGGAACTGTTATATGAGAGCTATACCAAAACGTGGATCTACATGGCCCATTTTCAATACCAAAAGTCCTGCAGACATAATATACATTTGAGTAAAATTTTATCGATCTACTTCATTTCGTTCAGAAGCTAGAGTAATTTAAAGTTGTTGGATTAAATAGTTTGGGCGCCACAAACTTTGAGGAGGCCGTACATAAAATATGACATTCAGTGGGTGTTCAGTGTAAAATGGCAGACTTATATATTTATTTCCCTTATTTCTTTGATATTCTGTCTAGATCAAAATTCTTGGGTATTAAATAGTGTGCATATTCTAGTCCTGTATGACATCTAGGGGCCCTTTAAAGTTTGGCTTTCAAGCTCTGATAATTTACAGTACCTATTATTCCAATTAATATCTTTGATGATTTTGAACAAATCTTTAGTGCTTAGTTTGTATTTTGTTTGTAAAATTTTGTGACACACTTTGGGCGCCACGTTTTCCACACTTCTTCGTCTAACGGATCTTCGTCACAAATCGGTCCGCAAACAGACACTAATCTTTGATGCATTTCAACAGATCTTTGTTTGGTTGTATTTTGTTTCTACAATTTTGTGACTCACGTTGGGCGCCATATTTTCCACATCTCTTCTGCTAAAAGATCTTGTTTGCCAAATTGAAGCTAATGTGAGGGCATACAGGTCTTACAAAACCCGAGTGGCATATATTACACCTGCATTAAATCAAAAGTTTCGAATTTGAGCCGAGTCCTGCAAGCTTTTTTTACACAATCTGGCAATATTGTATTGTTTTTTTTGTTTGAATTTCAAAATTGTACACCCTATTTGCAATCAAAAATCACAAAAGTAAAATTGCTACACTGTTAGTGTTGCTACTACATCATGAATGTTCTGAAAAATCGATCTAATCAAAAACAGAATCTCAGCCAAATTGTTTTAGTCTCACAGCACTTTGATCTGGTCGCCTGCCTCTAAACTCTTAGAACTAGCTATGCACACACACACACACCGATGATTAAATATTATCACGTTACGTCAATTGAAGCGGCAGCAGCAGCGGCAGCAAACAAGCACCAAAAGCTGCACCAACAATACAAAGAAAAAATCTCAGCCACGCCAAGCCAACGAATGTATTTTGAACACAGCCATCTATCTATGGAAAGGCTTTTATTGCCAGCTAATAACCAACTTAGATTCTGCTGCTATTCATGCAAGCGATTATATGTATGACTCTACCTCCAACCGACTGCAAGCAAAGCAGCTAGGCGCGGTGTAATGTTGTTTCAAAAAAAAAAAAAAAAAAAAAAAACAGAAAAAAAAATCAAAGCAAAACAACAAACGACGACAGAATGTCTAGCATGTTTGCCTACTACTGTTGTTGCACACATGATTGAGAAAAGCGGCGAACGTCAGACAGACAGACGGACGGACAATACTTGTAAATATGTACACGTACACATTAGCTTTGTTGTAGCTACTTCATATTAAACCCGAACGGGGATAGATGAATGGACACAAACAACCAACCACACATTGACCAATAGAACAAGCAACAGGTTGGCTGGTGCTGGCAATGATGGTTGTTGGCATTAGGGATAGGCCGGTTCTAGAACTTAATTTAAACACAAAAACACAGAACTATCATCGCTGAATTCTTGCATGCATTGTCTGTACATAGATGTGGTATTTTCCATTTTCTTGTTGTTGTTTTTGTTGTTGGTTTCTTTTTTTGTGCGAAACACAACATGCACATCTGAGTGGATGTTGACGACCATGGCGATTCCATCCATGATATCTTTATAATAGTCAACTGATTGCATTAACTGTAACTGCTGATCTTTGCCATAAAACAGAACTTGTTTATCATTTATGGCCATAACAAAGACAAATCACCACCACCAGCACCACCATCAGCAGAGCCAGATTGCCAACACAAATAAGAGTAAAAGTTATAACTTAATGCGGGGTGCATAAAGACGTGGCAGCAGAAGGCAAACTACGGTAGCAAGATTCTTTGTTTAAAAAGAGTATGGCTAAATGGCTGTTGTTACTGATTGGAGAAGGCAGAGGGTGTCTCTATTGCAAACAGTGCAAGTTCTTGCAAGTAATTATCATAAAACATTTCAATATCATCTCTTTGATGTGAGAGATAAGTTCAAGTTCATTGCAAAACAAAATGGGGACAGTAGAATTTATTGGGAGTTCATTCTTCAGAAAATATTTGGAATCTTCGTTTTTTAACTCCTTAAACAAAGTAATTTTGCTATTAATAAAATTAAGAACTTTGATTTAATACCGAATTTGTTGTGTGCCTAGGCGACTTTATAATTTGCATAGAATTTGATATTTGACCATCCACCTTTATGAGTTAAATATAGTGTTGCCATATTCGCAGTCTTCATTGCGACGTAACGTGGACGTAATGATACGGAATGCCAAGTAATGCCACGGAAACTCTAAGAAATAACCTAAAATTACTGAATTCACATTAAATGGATGAATTTACAGCTGTTAAAATTATTTCAGTGACAGCTCGTTATTACAAGCGTACAAAAGCATTTTGGTGAGAATTTATTATTTATTATTAATTTATATTTGGCTGGAAAACCACAAGTGGCTATCGTTAGAGCACTTCAGCATTTAAATGTGAATAAATCGTTGCCGTGATACTGGTAGCGTAGCCCGATGTCAAGGAAGTGGACGGAAGAAGAGAGTAAAGTCACCAGAAATGGTTCGAAAAGTAAAGAAGCGACTTGATCGAGACCCGCGTCGCAGTGGCCGAAAAATGGCTGGTGAGCTGAACATATCGCAATATTCCATTTGGCAAATATTGAAAACTGAAATTCCAAAAAGTGCATGAACTTACACCGCAACAGAAAGAAAATATACTCAAAAGAGCTAAAGAGTTGCTTCGCTTGGCCAAAAGTGGTGAACTGTCGAATCTGGTTTTCTCCGATGAGAAAACATTCGTTGTCAAGCAGTTTGTAAACAAACAGAATGATCGTGTTCGCTTGCCAAAGAGGTCCGCTGGAAATGTGCAGCGTCGGTTGGCCACCAGAACTTAAGCGCCAGCCATGGTGATGGTGTGGGCCGCCTTAACAGCCGATAGTCGCTCTCAGCTCGTATTAATCGACCCTGGCATCAGAATAAATGCCGAATATTATGGCGAAAATATTCTGGAGGGTGTATTAAAGCCTTGGGCACGCAAACATTTTGGCCCCAGACTTTGGATATTCAAAATGTTGACCCTTTGTGAGGGAGGTACCAAAAGGAGTGGACCGATATATTCCATCTTCACACCAGACCTTTGGTTATTGGAAATATTGTAATGTTTGTTATTTGAAGACAATCGGTCGCTTATATAACATTTTATAAGAGCTATAATTATTCAAAATTTTGACCTTTTATGGGGGAGGTATCTAATGGAGTTGACCGACATTGTCCATTTTCGCACCTGACCTAGCACTGATGCAAATATTGGGATTTGCAAAGTTGGAGCAAAATCGGATTACCCCTTCTCTCTCTGAGCAGTAGATTACTTTCTTTGAATATGTTGACATTTTGTGCGAGAAGTATCAGAAGGAGTGGACCGATATTGCCCATCTCTGAACTCGATCTAAGTTTGACAATAATATTACGATGTATCAAGTTTGCGCCAAATAAGATACTTCCTTCGAGAGTTATCGTGTACATCAGCCAGCCAGCCAGACAGACGGACAGACTCGAATTGTTCTGAAACGGATTTGTTCCAAAGATACCTAGGGGTTAAAATCCGTTATTTCGATGTATCTAATGATACGAGCGACATGGCTGAGGGTATAAAAAACTTGTTGCATATAATTCTGACTAATTCTGATAGGAAGCGGGCATAGACCCACGTCAGTATATCTGTTGTTTTACGAAGCTGCTCTAGCTCCTTACTGTACCATAGATAAAATGTTTGTCCATAAAACTTTATAAGTTAAATATTATATCTTTGTTATCGTTATTACGACGTAATGATGAGGTAAGTCAAGTAATGAAACGGAGCTCTAGAATCACAATTTCCCAAAACAACTGTCAATTCAGAGCAAAAAAGATTATTCAATCCTGTATCTCTTCTCCAACTCATTAGTTGCTCTCTCTCTCTCTCCTACCCATTTATTTCTACATTTCCATTTCTTTCTCGTGTAATTCCATGAATCAAACTTTTGCAGCTCAGTGTTAAATGTTACATATCTTGCTTGTGTTAAATCTAAAATAAAGGCAAGGTGAGCTTGAAACTCGATTTTAAAAGCACGAGCACCAAATCGTTTTTTGTATGTGTTTACTTGCTGTTCCTTTTATTGTGTTTCGTTTTTCTTCTTAACAATTACCAACTTCATGGTGGCATAAACACATATCTCGTTTTATGAGCTTGGACACTTGTGTAGTGGATCACGGCAACGAGTCTGTGCAGCGGCTGTGTGGAAAAAAAGGGGGTTTAATTTTAGCTCAATCAGTTAAGCTGTTATTACCCTGTATATTAATGTAGTTTTCTTCTTTGCTGCCTTTGCTGTTGGTGTTGTTGCAGTTGTCATGCTTATTTTTGTTGCACATGCGACATGAATAGATTAAAAAAAATCAAGCCGTGTTGTGTTGATAGATTCATTGAGACACGAGAGAGTTTAACAACAAAGTCTTTGACATGCCAGCCACTTGGGCGGCGGCATCGGTAATTACTTCGGCTTTGACTATGGGTTTGGGGTAAACAATCATGGGTGGTTGTTTAGGTGTGTGTGGTGCTAGGTTATCTTGTGGTGATGGTGTTGCATTTTGTTTTTATATTAGTTTTCTGCTCTCTTTTAAAAGAATATAAAAATAATAACAATGGCAAAGTCTATTAAGAGAAAAAAATATATAAATAAATACGTTAGATGGAAATTGCCAGAAGTTTAATCACGGCTAGTTACCAAGTGTGGTTACTCTGGTGGGTAATAGATGATGACAATGTGGGGTAACCAGCCAACCGGCACACAAAGATTGTCATCTGTGTCTGTTGTTTTCCCACTTTAAATCACTGTCCGGTTGCTGTTAGCTACCGTTGTTATTGTTTTCTGTTAATGTTTTAAATTTAATATATTGTATTAATCTTTTTTGTCTTTTCGCAATTATATTTTATTTTTAGCCTTATTTAAACTGGTTTTTGTTTTTGTTATTTAGCCATAGCTGTCGTGTAACTAGTTTACAATAATGTTTTGTACCTTACTGTCACTGTACTGTGTGGATATACGACAGCGTACAACCAGCAACAACAAACATGATATCAATAATTGTGGTTAATATTATAATTCTATTGTTTTGCTAATAAAAACTGAATTGGGTTCAAAGTATTAATGACGTATTTTGACATATGGAAATTTCTAAATAATTAGGTACTTAAATTTGGGGGATTTTTTTTTTCGTTTGAATGATTTGTAGAATGTGGTCTGAATGATATGATAATTGAAAATCGTAATTAATTCATTTAATGATGCTATTGTTCTTGTGAACAATTTAAATGTTTGTGGTTTCAATAGGAATATTTCCAAAAAGGTTAAATGATAACAAGAATAAACACGTTTTTCTACGAATGTTTCATGATAGAATTGGGAAGGTAAAGCCATGCAATCACATGTTTTTTTTTTAAATTACTTATTTGACAAAATGCAGAGATGGATATGCTTATTTGAAATGACTACATTCGTGGACACTCAACATTTTGACCCTTTGTGGGGGAGGCTCTTGAAGGAGGATACATCCGATCTTCATACCAGACCTTGGGTCAATAAAAACTTTGTGATATGTGTAATTTCAAGAGAACCGGATGCTTGTTTCAGATTTTATGATCGTTTTGGTTACTCCATCCTTTGACCCTTTGTGGGGAAGGTACCAGAAGCAATGGTCCGATCTCTACCATCCTTATAAAAGATCTCGTGTTCACGGAAATATTGAGACGTGCTAAGTCTGAATGGAATCGGATGTTAATTTCGTGTTTTAAGAGCGTCATGAATATTCAAAATATTGACACTTTTGTGGGGGAGGTAACCGAAGGAGTCGGACGATATATTCCATCTTTACACTACAATATTGTGATTTGTGTAATTTGAAGAAAATCGGACTTTTACTTCACATTTTATAAGAGTTATAATTATTCCAAATTTTGGCCCTTTGTGAGAGAGGTACTTGATGGGGTGGACAGATATTGTCCATTTTCGCACCTGACCTAACACTGATGCAAAAATTAAGATATGCAAAATTGGAGGAAAATCGGATTGTCATTTCTCTTTCTGTGCAGTAAATTATTTTCATTGAAAATTTTGACATTTTGTGAGGGAGGCACCAGAAGAAGTGGACCGATATTGCCCATTTCCGGTGGTGAGTCATATGGCTGAGGGAATAAAAAACGAAATCTAAAGCCTAGAGTTCTAAAGATGCCTTTAGCCCTTGAGTAGGGGTATATAGATCGACTTTGGACTAATTAAATTATTTTCCAACATTCATTTAAATTTTATATAGGTATGGCTTTATATGTTTTCTGTAAGTACTTTTCGGACAATAAAATAGACAAAGAGCGTAGGAAAAGAGAAACAAGATAAAATATACTACATTAATATATATAGTAATCTCTAGCAGTGTTCACCACAAAGCAGCCAATCGAACAAATCAAACGAGCAAAATTGAAACGTGAGAGTTTACTCCCAATTGTCAGAGTTTCTCACACATTTTGCTCTCTTTTAATGGGTTTTTGAGCAAAAAGACAACATTAAAGACAATTATCACAAACTATCGAGTAAAGTGGGGTACACATCAGCAGTGCGATTCTCTAACTAATTTTTTGAGTTACCGACAAAAGTAAAATGAAAATGCTTATAATTTCTGTAATTAACGAAATTTATCGGTAAGTTAGCGACAAAATCAAATTAGTCGCTAATACTTAACGATAGACACCAATATTGCCAACCTTAATTTATCATTTATATCAACATTTTGGGTTTCGCAGTTACCGATTTTTGTCGGTGACTAAAAAAATGAGTTAGAGAGTCGCACTACATGCCGAATTGTTTTACAAAAGTCAGTATTGATATAAAACGGGGCTTATATAAATAGTATTCCAATTTCTAAACCATAGAAACTATAAGTTTGCCTGACAAAGCCCGTTGATGATATTGAAATTATTAATAAAAAATATAAAAATAATGAAAAAGAATGCTTCTTATTTTCTTTTTTTCATTCCTGAATGGGCCAAAACTTTTCATCCCATATGCTTTTATTTTAGATCATAATTTTTTTGCTACATTTCATGATGTATGCCCCTGATTTACTTCACAAAGTTCAATGTAGACTCATGTTTTGTTGTACAACAGAATCGGAATTTTAATTGATTTCTATGCGGCTATTAGCCCCAAAAAGAAAAACAAACACGCGCATAACATTAATTCGAACATATGGTTCGGCTGGTCGGTCGGTTGGTCGGATGGGTTGTTTGGTCGGAAGTAATGAGAATTTATACATAGATACAATATTATTGTTGTTGTTGTGTAGTTTCTAATGTTTGTTTTTATTTGGCACACCAGTCAATCATTCTTAGACCATTTTCAATTTATTTCCCATTTTCACTACATCTAATGGATTTCTCATGTTGCTGTGAATGTTCACAATTCATTTTCTTAAAGAGATTTTATTTTCTTTGCAAAATTAAAATTGAAATTGAAAAAAAAAAATGAAATAACGGAAATGATTCATATTCTCTTGGAATACGAAAGTGTTGAAATGAAACAATTTGCAAAATATTGCCTGAAATATTATTATTTCGGTCAATAGTAAGAAATTGTGCCTTACACAAATAGCCAGCTATCTTCAATGGATATTTCTAATAGATTTATGATCTCATACAATATTCTAAGTGAAATATATCTCATGTGATTCGAAAGTTGCCTAGAACACTCATCCCATCCCATTCCATGCCATACCACCACCCACTGCTGCATTCCATATCAAAGAATTCAAATACCAAATGCAATGCTGGATAATGAATATGGATAAAAATAAAAACTATAAATATTAAAAATAATACAAACATCTGGAGTGCAGGTTTTTGCTGTTCGGCACTAAGAATAGACCGTGGTATTTTGTTTATAACATCAACAATTAAACTGGGCTACAGTAAAATTGTTCTTAAAAAAATAGTTAAAAACACATTAAACATTGGGATCTAAAGTACTTCTTTTCGAGATTCCTTTTGCAAAGCAGGAAAATACCAAGTGTGAGACTCAGCGACTGATGGCAATTGTCAGTTTTGACATACAGATGACATGATACAATCAGCTATCCTAGATTGTATTTTTATTATGTATACATACACCAAATCCAGTGTATTTTGTCAAGTCCGTTACGTATACGTCATGGTACGTACGATACGTTATCGACACAGCTGATGGGACAATGAACTGTCAAACTAATTTTAGAAATTAAACATTTTGATTGAAAAGTTATTCAATTTTGTAAAATTTTTTGAAAAACGCATATTATATAAATAACTCTGATTGGCGTCGTATAAGAAAACATATAAAAATCTATTTATTTTTGAAAAAAAAAAAATTAAATTTTTTTTTTAAATCTATTTATTTTTTTTTTTTTTGACACATGTATTCTTTTACCATGGTATACGTTAAATATAAAATCCAGAGGATTTTTTGACGTATACACAATGCAAGTTTCAATTGAAATCCATTAAGGTGAATCTTGCAAATCATTAAAATAAAGCGCCTTAAAAATTCAGGGTGAGATGAAAAACCGCAATCAACTTTAGACTGTCGTCATTTCTAAGCCACTTGTCCGAGAGCTGTTAAAATTATTCGAGTGACAGCTCATTATATTGTTTACAAGCGTACAAAAGTATTTTGGTGAGAATTTTCCGGAAAAAAAGTTATTCGTTATGGAATTCAAGCGTGATAGTGGGATTTCTTTATATTTGCCTGGAAAACCGCATGTGGCTATCGTTAGAGCACTCCAGCATTTAAATGTGAATAAATCTTTTGTGTCCCGTAGCATCGCTCGTTACCGTGATACTGGTAGCGTAGCCCGACGTCAAGGAAGTGGACGGAAGACAGCAGAAATGGTTCGAAAAGTAAAGAAGCATCGCAGTGGCCGAAAAATGGCTCGTGAACTGAACATACCGCAATATTCCATTCGGCAAATATTGAAAAATGAGCTCGGGGTAAAGCCATTGAAATTCCAAAAAGTGCAAGAGCTTACGCCGCAACAGAAAGAAAATAGAATAGAAAGAGCTAAAGACTTGGTTAGATTGGCCGAAAGTGGTGAACTGCCGAATATGCGAAATCCGATGAGAAAACATTCGCTTCGTCGGGAATGGGCCAAAATATTGCAGAGTAACATTCGGGCAGCGTGTGATAGTTTTATTGGCCGTTTGAAGGCCATAATTCGTGCCAAAGGTAACCAATTCGAACAAATCTAAACTTATTCTAACATTTGATGCTATTTCCGACATTTTTTGCTTTCGTTCAATAAAATTTAAAAAAAAATTTAAAAATTATGGCGTTTGACTTTGTTGCAGTTTTTTTTTATCACACCCTGTATATGGATTGATTGACAATTGAGGTCTTACAGACGGTAAATTTTGAATTGAGCTTGGTCTCCAGGCTTACTATTAGTAAATATAGTGTTGCCTTAAAGTCAATTCTTCTGATGCACTAGATCAGTAGTGTGTACCCCACTTTATATATTTCCATGGGATTTGCTTAATATCTTCATTTATTGATATTTAAACCGGGTTTGATTATCGGTGCATACAATTAGACCATTTCGTTTAGTCACTTCTCATTCCCCCCTCCCCCATTATGTGGATAAATGAATGGGGGAAAATTAACATATATGAGTCACATACCAAAAGGAAGAGAAAATAAAGAACAAACACAACATAATGAATGAAAACAATATGTTTGTTTTATACGCCAACAAACAATGTCAAACACATGTATCCGTTATTCATGCATGCTTCATTATGTTATGGATGTAACCACACAACACACTTTAACCATAAATATAAGCATGGCTTCAAGAGAATTCTCACTGTCTGTCTGTCTGTGTGACATCTTGCAATAATATATACATATATATGGGGCTTAATGACATTATAAACTTAGGCTATAAATGTCAACTATGAAAAAGTGGCAACCAACTGTTTGCGTTGGATGCGTTTCTGTTTTTGCATACCCCCCACTTTTTTTGGGTTGTCACTCTCTCTTTCTCTCTGTCGCTCTCATTTGTGGTTGTCTCTGCGAGATACTTAAAACATAATTAATAAAGTTTATTATTGGCTTGCTTTAGTCGCTCTCACTCCCCCCCACTCCCCTACTGTGATGCGCCGTCACATGTTTGTTTATATATGGCGCTGCTGATGATGATTGCCTTTCATTGCGCTTTAATTTAATTTTATTTCCTTTTTTATGAGCAAATAATTGAATTTTTATGTGAAATAATAAAGAAAATATACAACTGTGTTATGTCATAAAAAATATTACAAAATAAGAAATATAAAAGCGATTAACATACATGTTGCCTTAAACGGGTAATTGACGTCGAATTCAAGAGATTTACGATTCAGAAGCAAGCGCCTTGAGATGGGACACTGTGTCGTGTCTGGGTTCCAAATCCAAGGGGGAAAATGCCGGTTGATAAATTTACAACAGTTGTGTAATAACTGTTTGTGTAAACCGTATTTAAGTTGTGTGTAATTTTCAATTTGTATTTTAGAAAGGTAAATATAATATAAAAACTACAAAAGGAATGTTTAATGAAAAAGAGTGGGAAAAAAGATTTTACATGTCGCTGACAAACGATATCACGGCACATATATTAGACATATTTAAATTTCTTTGCATATCAGAGTTGTAATTTCGGACAGAGTCCGAAAATTTCGTTCGTTTTTATACCCTCAGCCATATGGCTTCAGACTGGTCATATGTAAGAAATCTAAACTTGTTCTAAAATTTGCAAATCT